TCCGACAACAAAGCTATCATCAGATCTCTACAATGCAACAGGACGACGTCGAATATGACTATAAAATGTAGTAGCAATCTCTCGACTAAATGCAATACTGCCAGACTGCTAAGGACAAAAATCAAAACATATTATTCTTCTAAACTGGTTTTCTATTAACCTAATGGCAGCTCATTCTTTAATGGTGTACCACTCCAGTGATCTCTGCCGCTGCTGTAGGGACGAAGAAGAGAAGGCGTTTATAGAAGACAACCTCCGCTGTACCACTGTATAGCGCGACACAAATTCCTCGGGAAACACTTCTTCGTTTGTCTGTTTGTCTGACTGAGCTTGTCTAAGTGAAAATTGGAAATCTCGTTGTCTTTATAAGAGACACGAAATTGTGTGCTAAAGAGAGGGAGCCTCGCAGCTGTATTACAATGGGCATATTGGTCTCAGGCCGCAGCAACGCAACTTAACAATACAGTAAGTTAGTGTAAATTCCATAAAATATTTATCGGGCCATTAATGGTGCTTGACCCTTGAGCTTCAACTAATTTATTTTCCTCAAAGTTTAGTTTTTGTTTTATTTTCGCGCTTTTTATTTGCAAAATAAAGCAATTAGTTGTTGGTTAAATTGCCATTAGAGGTTATCGTAAACATTGGGATATAAATAAGAAAACACTTTCGCACACAAATACATATTTCACATAGCTTATTCTCAGCGCTTTCCGGCTCAACCTGTCCTATTGAACTTTAACACCTTTTGTATAATAAAAAAAAAAAAAAATTCATATGAAAATTGCATTCCAACACTAAGCACACGCTTGCCTTTCCCATTGGCGCATTGACAAGCTCCGCCCAAAAAGTTCATTCTTTGAAGTTCACCGCCGCCATTATTGTGAAAATCAACCCAAACTCAACCCAACTTACAACCTTCAAGCGAACACACCTTCATACATACAGCACAAAGTATATGAAGATATGGACTTATTTCATTATCACTGCTGACTTCAAAACAATCTGGCAACGCAATAACCAACCCTTAGCGCGGCAAGCAGCCACCATAACAACAACAAAAAAATAAAATATAAATAAATAAATAGTTTCAGGCATGAGGAGGAGATGGTAGAGCGATTGAAATAAACGTTCACTTATCAATTGCCAGGATATCGGCAACTCAACGGTCTCTGCCGACCAACGCGCGTCATTCATTTGTGGTATGATCTCGTGAGCGGAAGTGGCACGCGATAAGGCGCTTAGTAACGGTTCAATTAAAAATTGACGATTTTCGTAACCGGCGCGTTTTGGGAAAGAAGAGAATTCGAATTTCTGGTTTTCTAAAATTTTTATTTATGCAAAACATTCTGTCTGTTCAGTATAAGCAAGTGTGTGGTCAATGGAAAATTATTGTGAATGATTTTAAATGATTTACCGTTTGTTATATAACAAAAGCTGCTCGGTTGTGAATGACATCAATACGAAGTGTATTCTTCTACAATATATAAATAATAATTTCGCAAAAAAAAAAAATTAATTTTTGCTAACAATATTAAATTAAAACAAATGTGAATGTTAAAAAATGCATAAACAATAAATATAACTATAAATGAAGGTAACCTTAAAAATTTTATATAAGAAAAAAATAAAATTAAATTAAAATTAAAATATTTCCAAATGCAATTTGTCAAAAGTTTTTACATTAAGAACTCTCGTAGGGCCACCGAAAATTAATAAATAAGTATTTGGCTCAGAGTGATATTATATAAAAGATCTGCCGCGGCTGGCTCGAATAACTTCTGGCCGAGAGACCCAACATTATACCACTTTTTGCAGCAATTTTGACTGCATGTCAGCAATAACTATCCGAAATTTTTCTTCCAAGGCGTGAATCGTTTTGTTTCGTGCAACAAAAATAACCCAGCGGTGTTAAGTCGCATCATCCAAAGGACGTCCAGTTCAACATCCTTCGATTCAAGCACAAAGAAGTCATTAATCATGGCTAAATAGCGTTCTCCATTGTATGCATGGTCATCTTCTTTTTTTTCATTTTTGAAGAAATATCTACCAATGATTCCCTTTACCCATATAGCACACCAACCAGTGAGTATTTGATAATATAACGGCGTCCCAATAGTGGTTTGTTGCTTATCATCACTCCTTATGCGCCAATTTTGTTCATTAACGTAACCATTCAACAAGAAGTGAGGGAAAATCTGGGTGTGGCCTTCTCGTTTTGGACCCATTCACCGAAAGTGCGATGCGCTTGATGGCATGTAGTGCCGTCTAAAGGTTGTTCACATCAAGATCCTTTAGTTCAGATACGCAAAAGTCCTTAATCTTGGCGTTACCCTTGATTGTAACCTTATGGCTGGCCTCGCGACGACGTGCGACACGCTTACTGGTCGTTTAGTTCCAATTCTTGCCAGAGTTGAGTTTTGTAAGGTGGCACGTCAATATCCTTTTGCAAGATCTTCCATAAAGTTGCACTCGATGACAGTTGGACTCATTCAGCTCTTCTTCTATACTCTGCTTCACAGCAGCAATTGCGTCTTCGGTGCACAGTCTATACGGCGCATCTGAGGATGCACATTATCCACTAGAGTAAACGTGCTGCGAAACCGATTTATGGTTGCTCGAATTACTGCCTCCGCTGGGCCATTTTGTCGACCGAATATTAAAAGAGCGCGATGTGCCGCTCGAACCGAATCATTAATTTGGTGTCAGTTTGTTCATTATGAAATGGCAAACTTAACTGAGTATCAAGTCAAGAAAACTAACCCCGAAAAACGAATCGCTTCATTAAATATGGCACGTCTAAAAGAATACCACTCTCGGAGAGAAATCCAAATGAGAGTCCAGCAAATCATATGTATTTTTTAATGCCATTCAAAGGCTTTATATGAAATTATAAGTCATTATAATTTACTGATTTCTGGACAACACTTCCGGACAACATTCATAAAACATTGCCAGCCAAGTTTTTCCTGGTCATTCAGGTTTCCTTCAAAGGTCTTACTGTTTATCAGTTGCCATATTTATGGACCTCAAATATTCTCTCTTTAAGTTGACGACTTATAACTTAGGACAAATTCACAAATCGCGGCTGTTCTTATCGATTTGGAGATTTTGGCACATGCCAGTCGGCTCTACAGGCTCCTACAGGATCTTTTGGCAAGTTTGAATAGTTTGTGGTGTGTTTAGACTTGATTGTACTGTATTGTTTAAGTCAAACAAAGAAACCATGACTTATGTGATCCTTTGGTTCCATCCAAATCTCACACACCCATTACACAGTATTCGTGTAGAGCCGAATATTTATCGTTTTCCCTCAACGGATATTAAATTATTCAAACAAAGCAAAGTATATAAGGTCAGAAATGGGTGGGGTGTCCCAAAATGAACTGGATGCGATTGAAAACAACCTTGCTGCTTGGTATTTCCAATTGGCGCCAAACACCGAAAAGAAGGAATGAATGGCACACCAATGTTGATTCGGCTGTAATCACGTAGGCAGGGTCTATGACAGTAAAGAAGCAGAATATAGGTTAGATTAGGCTAGGTTACATTGTCCAACTGTAGCGCTTATACAGGCTCGTTGGGATAACCACATGTACAAGAGGCCTCTTATAATTTTTCGAACTGCAAAGCTTCGATAAGACTATGCTAATGTCGGACAAAAACAGAGTAGGTATTCTAACGTTTCTCCACTCATGTCCTCTTCGCTGCAGCTAATGCCCATTTTGCTTGCATACGAGGTTTGATAATTAAGTAATGAGACTGATTCCATAAAAATCGTATATTTCAAAATTATTCTACAACTCTCCCATTCAAAGTAGTCTCTTGGGCAGCTATTCAAAGTAGTCCCTTTGGGGCAGCTATAAAACGATTCTAGCGCGTTTTCTATGCTTCGTAATATTTTTGAAACGCTTCGACTGGTATGTCCGCGAGTACCCTCGTCACGGCCGCCTGTACGTCCCCAACTAAAACAAAACATGGATTTTTATAAATGCTTGACTTGTAGCCAAGTACACATGTTTGTTTTTTTATAAAGGCTGCACTTTTAACTAAACTAAACTAAACAAAAAATGTTTGGCTTTTATAAACGCTTGACTGTTGACCAAAAAACAGATCTGTTTTTATAAATGCCGCATTTTTAACTAAACGAAACATGTTTTTTTTTATAATTGCTTGACTTATAACCAAAACATGTTTGGTTTTTTATAAATACTTGACTTTTAACTGAAACAAAACATGTTTGGTTTTAATAAATACTTGAATTTTAACCAAACATGTTTGGTTTTTATTAATGCTGAACTTTTAACTGAAACAAAATATGTTTGGATTTTTTATAAATGCTGAACTTTTAACTGAAGCAAAACATGTTTGGTTTTTTTATAAATACTTGTCTTTTAACCAAAAAACATATTTGGTTTTTTATAAATGCTAAACTTTTAACTAAAGCAAAACATGTTTGGTTTTTGATAAATGTCAAACTCTTAATTAAAACAAAATATGTTTGGTTTTTATAAATACTTGACTTTTACCCAAAAACATGTTTATTTTTATTAACGCTAAACTTTTAATTAAAACAAAACATGTTTGTTTTATATAAATGTCCAACTTTTAATTAAAACGAAACATGTTTGTTTTTATAAATGTCAAACATTTAATTAAAACAAAACATGTTTGTTTTTATAAATGTCAAACATTTAATTAAAACAAAACATGTTTGTTTTTTTATAAATGCTGGACATTTAACCAAAAGAAAACATGTTTGGTACTTTTGAAACCACGTAATGGATAACCCTATATTTCACTTAAAATGTACGACAAACGACTGCAATCAAGCTAACCGTTTAGGTTATCGTACTCATGTAAACATTTTTATAACATCAAAGGAAATCAATAACTCCCTGCTTACAAAATCATCATAAATCAAAGATAAACACCGCAATAAACGCCTGCGTAAACATCATCAGATAATAATCATACACATTTATTTCTGCCTTTATTTATAGTAAACTAATGAACTACGGACAATATAAGATAAGGATATTAAACTAACCGAAAGTGGGCGGAAGGAAGAACACAAATAAAAGTGTGGAGAGGAGGCTACAAAATTTATGTATGTACACTGATTACGCTCATCAACAGACCAATCGCTATCTAATATAAAAAATCACCGGTTATTTGATAGTACTTACATATATACATTTAAAAAAAAAAATACAACAATTGGTTGCTTGCCGCAAACACTTGTTCTGGTGTAAAGTGCACGTGTGCGACACGTGGCTGGGAAATCAAAAGTCAAATAACGAAAGCGGACACGACGCGTGCGCGCACTTAGAAGAGCAAAGTTTTTGTTAAGAAAATGCGCAAACTATTAAATGCCAATTATTCAATTAAATAACAGTGTTTACAATCAATTGGTAGTGTCAACAAGTTGTAGTAGCAACAACAATAACAGCAATTACAATAATCCGCTGAGAAATATCACAGCCAAAATGTTCTCACTCGACAACTTTGATTTGGAGGCGACAATGGCGCGTCACTTCTACGAAGGCTCCCAAGCGACGAATGGCTCCAGCTCAAGTTCGGAATTTTTCTTCGGTGACGATGATAATAGCTCGGAGAGCGATGAAGATGATGCGTACAGTAGTGGTTTCAATAGTGATCAGGAGAATAATGAAAAGAGGTGAGTTTTATTTATGGTATTGACAGGAACTTGATCGCTTGATGTAATGTCGTATTTTAAATTCTGTTTCTCTGTCTTCTAATTAGCCGCTTGCACAAGCCACGTCGCTTGAAATGCGCCTCACAAATGGCTCAACAACGTCAGGCGGCCAATTTGCGCGAACGACGTCGTATGCAGAGCATCAACGAGGCCTTCGAGGGTTTACGCTCGCACATTCCTACTTTGCCGTATGAGAAACGTTTGAGTAAAGTCGATACACTAAAGTTGGCCATAAGTTACATAACTTTTCTCAGTGAAATGGTGAAAAAGGATAAAAACGGCAATGAACCGGGTCTGAGTATACAACGAAATTATCAAAAGGAGCAACCAAAGAAGATTATTCTTAAGGGTAAAAGTGAGTACAAGATTTATTGACTAAAATTGAGGGTTCCTGAAAGAAGTTACATTGATCCGCAATTGCGTATTCATTTATGTTGTCTAAGAATTTGGGAGTCTCAGACGCAATATCACTTACCTAAACATTCACTTGCCTTGGAACTATATACAGGCACTTCTGGGCAAGTGCACAGGGACTCTCAGTCTACTAGTGCATAGCTCTTGCCGGAGAGATCTGGTAATTGATTTTACGGAAAATGTACTTATTTAAAGAAAATAATAAATTTGAGTAATGGTGATTCATCTGTCAGCACTGTTAGCATTGTACATATACGATACTAACATTCGGTAGGTCAAGCATCGAGTCCTAGTTTGATCAGACATCCAATTTTTCAATTGCGGTCTCCACTCGACATAGAAAGTCAAGTTCTCCGAGTGTATTTCTGGCATGCATTTCAAAGCTCCTCATAAATATCCATCAGCAGTTCGGAGGCGGCTTGGAGTAAACGTAGGTCTCTCCATTCGTTGGAATAAACATAAAGACCCATCGGTAGTTTTTTATAAATGATTACACTGAACCAGCACAGATAATGCCTTAGTTAAGACAAGGAGGTGTAGTGGTCTACAATCAAGACTTAAAGATTGTGAGTCAGTCATCTTTCTTGTATTATGTACAGTACAATTTCTAAGCTTGCAGGGATTTTATGCCGTGATATTTATTTTAGAAAATCATAAGATATATTCTATTATAAGGGATCAAACCGCATTTTGTGTTGCAAGAGGCGCGTGCTCTAACCCCTGCATCAACATAAACCCGGTCCCAAAGACAATAATATTGCGGACTTCAGCGAATTCGATCAGCTTCAGCTCGTTTGGGAATGTTTCATCAAAGACGCTAGATTTTCCAACTGTTGTACTAAAACTACCTTCCTTTTTCACCCTGTGTTAAGACCGTCTAGCCCGATTTAGACATGTTGGCGAGGGCAGCGCTCTTCCGTCGGCATGGCCGCAAATCAGCGAAAACGCAAACTGCGGTTATATGTACCTTTACCGGGGTGAATACCAGGACTGGGCGATGGAGTCGCTCTCAAACCAAAAATCCAACACCAAATTTGTCCAATTTTATAAGGTCGCTATAGTTATTATGTAAATATTTCACAAAAACACACCTTCTTCCGTCTTTGTCCCGTCCATCGTTGTTTTTAGGCGACGGAGTTGTCACTACTTAATCTTACGAGGACATTAACAAGCTGGATAGTGGTAATGTCAGAATTAAGAACCGGATATTCCAGGGGCATTCACTCAAATGATATCTTCATTGGCCAAAAGTTGCATTGAAAGGGTTAAAATGTTTGCTCGTCCAAGACATATTTTGATTTATTATTGGAATCTATTTTTTTTGCGATGGGACCTAACCCACCGAAAAACCGCAGGGAATTCACCTTCTCAGTTTAGTTAGCTTTTGGATGTTTGCTGGCAATACATAAGAAAGATCGGGCGTCGTGAACTTCTCGAGTCATATGTGAAAGAATCGCCTTTGGCTACTCGAAGGCAGCCAAAAACTTTCCTCACTTTCATGGCCCTACCTTTGCTCTGCTTTTATAATGAATTGTGGTTGAGATATATCCGGTGTTATTGACGCTTTAGGGTTAGATCCGAAATTAACTCTTCTGTATTTGCACTGCACATTTTTTTATTTTTCCAAAGCCTTTCGACTATATGCTTCGGCTAGTGAACTTACATATTTACATATTGGTGTATTCAAAAGTAATCTATTATTTTTGCAATAGATGGCTTTACAGAACAAAGAGAGAAATACTCCGTATGAAAAGGCAAGTTATATATAAGCTCCGAGCTCCTCCTCCAATTCGTGGTTTTGCGTCTAGATGTTTGTCCAACAAATGGAGGGACCTACAGCCGCCTACGAATTGCTGATGGTTTATTTTATGAGGAGCCTTTATTTTATGGTAGAAATACACTCGGAGGGTTAAACTGAATTCTTGCATCTAAAAAAATTTTCTATAATTTTTAATGTTCGTCGCAGGGGGCTTGAACCCGAGCCTTCCGAATGCCAGTACGCAATGCTAACCATTCGACCACCGCGGCCGAGTGAACGTCATGCGAGCACTTTTTCGATGCTACAAGATCTAAATATTGTACAAAAAATAGTTTTGAACCACTTGATGACTGGATGTATAAAGAAGCTCGTTGTTTGCCTCCCAAATGAGTTGACGAGAAAAATCTTTTTGCATCGAAACACTGTTGAATCGTAAAAAACTCGACCCATTCGGGAAGTGTATGGTGACTGGTGATGAAAAGTTGATCAGCATTACAGCAACGTCAAATGCAAACGATCGTGGTTGAAGTGCAGTGAGCTGGCACAAACGATCTCCAAGTCAGTATTGACGGCAAGGAATGTTTTATTGCGTGTATAATGGGTTTGGCACCTCAAATTCTGGACCGCACATCAAGACATCAACATCTGTTCTTGTCTATGGCGAATGATTGTGCTGCTAAAGAATCCAACTCAAGAGTAGCCTGTGAAAAACGATAGTTTCAGTTTTTTGTCAATATGGACAAAGGTTTCTATGAGAGGGGCATAATGACATTACCTTCAAAATGGGAAAAGCTTATTCAGCAATACGTTGCATATCTCTAAAGTCTACAAAATAATGCAAAATTAATGGATTAGTTTTTACTAAAATTCATATCCACGAGAGGGAAGTGAAGTTCTTTGTCGCTTAAAAAATTATTTTAAAATAAGAAAGAAATTGGCATTCCAAAATTGATGATCGTTACAATTTTATGTAGCATCCAGATATAAAACTGTAAATGTATGTGTATATGTATTTATATATGTACGTGCATGACTTCATTGAACTATATTCGAAATTTCTATATCATTTCACAAAAATAAACAGAATTCTTCCAAACAATACACGGAATTGATACCCCGAAATAATTGAACCAATTAAAACACATACACATAAGCACATAACTCACGCGATGTCCGTTATTATATATACATACCTATACAAGAATATTTTAAAACTTATGATCATCAATCAAATTGGTCAAGCGTTTACACCCACAAATTATGCGACGAGTACAAAACGAGCGAATTCAGAAAAGAGAAATCCGTCTCCTCTGAACATTTTAGAGAAATCTTGTTGAAAAACGTTAAAAAAAATACACATTTCCGGCCACAGAATTTTTTTTTTTTTTAATATTGCCTACTCATATTTAATTTCAATGGATTTTCGTTGATATTTTCGCGCATCGAACGTTGCAAGCTGCGCCGACCAAGTGTACATTCTGTGATCAGCAACAACACCAGCTTGAGCGCGTTGTAATTCGTGTACTCGCGCATGGTGAATGTGTTTGGGTGGTGAAAAATAGAAAACACAAACATACTTACCTTAAAAAATTTGCGTGTTTTTGTTTTTGTTGCATTTTAGTAACCGCTGGCAGCAGCCGCAATAAGCTGCTAAGTGTAACTAATTAGAATTTTCACACTTTTCTCATGAAAAATTCTTCACACAAAAAAGGTGCATTGGCCAAAATGGTAAGGGGAAATCGATCATTCAGTGGCATCGAAAGTGAATTTCACAAATTTGCTGCGGAAACACTCTTCTTCTTGAACAACATTATATGCATTATATTTTCACAATGACTACAGTGTATACAGTTGCTCACAAAAGTATTGTGCATGTGACCTTGTAGCTACGAATATCTGAATTTTTTGGCACTGTGAAGATATGTATTTTTACAAATTAATTCGGTCCGTACTCAAAATATGGCTACACCAGCATGTTGTGGCCGATCTTGGAAGCGATTGCTCTTTCCATCGGAAAGGTTTCTTTCTCTTTCTTTACTCGCTTTGGTACCAAATACAGCCAGACTCTTCTCCAGTTGGTCTTTTCAACGGAGTGTAGGCCTTCCTCGTGCTCTGCCTCCACTAGCGGGTACTGCATCGGAAATTTTCAAAGCGGGAGTATTATTCTCCTTGCAAACCACATGATCTAGCCAGCGTGCCGCTATCTCTTGATACGCTGAACCAAGTCAATGTCACCGTATACCTCGTACCGTTCATCGTTCCATCGGCTGCAGTATTCGCCATTATGAACTCCTAGAGAACCATAAATCTTACGAAAAACCTGTCTCTCGAAAGCTCATAACGCTTACTCATCAGATGTTGTCATCGTTTATACCTTCGCACCATATGGCAGCAAGGGAATGATGTTTCTGTCTACTACATTCTTTTTAGCCTCTGCTAAGACCAGGAGAGACCACTAATGCGAAACTTTATCGAGTACAGCTAATAGGCTTGAGCCGTGTATTGCTTGAAAACCGCCCAGAAACGATCGAATGGCAAGATACTCGTACTATGGTTTGACATTATGGGAACTCTCCGTCCTAACTGGCTGTAACTGTCAAAAACTACCTGGGAATGCTCTACCATTTGTATTCTACAGATCTTTCACCTAACGACTACTGGCTTTTTCGGCGGATGAAATATAATTTGGAGGATCACCGGTTCGGGTGTTTTGAGGAAGTCGAAGAATGGCATAATGATGGGATCGCAGACAGTCGAGAACAGAGAGAACTTATTATTAATTTATGAGTTGTACGCGAAAATTTCCAGAGAGATGGGTAAAAAGTAATCGCCTGCCACGGAGATTTGATGATGAACGTCTTATGGTATGTCAGCAGAGATATAAGGCTCTCTCACAACGATTTCACCGTCAAGTTCTAAAATACTTGTCATTGGTATGATCCATTTTTCAGGGCTGTATGACACAATACAGCCAAATCAAGTGGAGTTGAAACACAGCAGATAGTTCGAGGAAGGCTATAGCAACACTACTTTGACACTAGCGAAACGGCGATAAGATGGGATCTAAAATGGAATATTGTGTATTGGATTTATTCAGCGGTAGTTAGACCGATTCTATTCTACGGTGTTGCCGTATGATGGCTGGAACTCGCGAAAACTACTTTCAGGAGCGAACCAGAGAG